CTGATTAACTAAATGACGGACTTCTAAAAGTGAGTGTAATAACAGACTGATTAACTAAATGACGGACTTCCAAAGAGTGAGTGTAATAACAGACTGATTATCTAAATGACGGACTTCCAAAAAGTGAGTGCAATAACAGACTGATTAACTAAATGACGGACTTCCAAAGAGTGAGTGTAATAACAGACTGATCAACTAAATGACGGACTTCCAAAGAGTGAGTGTAATAACAGACTGATTAACTAAATAACGGACTTCCAAAGAGTGAGTGTAATAACAGACTGATTAACTAAATGACGGACTTCCAAAAAGTGAGTGTAATAACAGACTGATTAACTAAATGACGGACTTCCAAAGAGTGAGTGTAATAACAGACTGATTAACTAAATGACGGACTTCCAAAGAGTGAGTGTAATAACAGACTGATTAACTAAATGACGGACTTCCAAAGAGTGAGTGTAATAACAGACTGATTAGCTAAATGACGGACTTCCAAAGAGTGAGTGTAATAATGGCGTACTTTAACAGACTGATTTTACGTGCAAATTATAAGAAAATCCGAAATACTGTGCTGAGAACTTTGTAGAAAGCAAATAAATGTGAACAAACTTTTATTTTTTAATCTTAGAGTTTGCCAACTTCTATTATTTTCCATTTTTTTTTCTACTTTTGAGAGTCAATGTCTGTACTGTGTACGATTCATTTGTTAAAATCTTTTGTTTCCAGGGACAAATTTCGTTTTCTTTGAGACCCTGTTTGTCTTCTGCGTTTCCTTTTCATATAAGTAAAAAAAAAGGAAAAGAAAGTAAGAGCCTATACAGTTATTGCAAATGTAGATATTTATTCAATGTTGTTTTTCTCCCTGAGCTACAAATTTGATGGAAGTCTTGAACAAACAAAACAATCTTTCGTATACTTTTCATATTATCTCCAGTTAAATCAATAACATTTCCATTAAAACAAAATATGTTTTTATGTACTTTTTACGATTACTTTTCTCTCTTTTTAGCTGGCATCTTTTATTCCTCTTTGTATAAGTATCCATGTTGTTATGTATAAAAGGATAAAAATTTACAGACTTTGAACAAAGATATAAAAGCTTTTTTCTTCCAGTTATGAACACACACACACACACATATATATATATATATATATATATATATATATATATATGTGTGTGTGTGTGTGTGTGTTTTTGTGATAAAAATAGTTTTAAGGTATGCTATATTTATGGGTTAAAGTGAATATCAGGAATAAAGCGTATGTAAATATTAAAGTGGGTATTAGGGTCAACACCCAGTGGCGACAATCTGTTTTATGCTTAAACGCAATTTTTCTGCCCAATTTATATTTTGATATATATATATATATATATATATATATATATATATATATATATTTCAGTTACAATTTATAGATGGTGCGAAGATTGAGTTCATGCATGAAACAGACTGTCACCGTTGAATCTTGACCTCAATATCCACTTATATATATATATATATATATATATATATATATATATATATATATATATATATATATATATATTATATATTCCGTTTCATCTATATAATAAATGCGAATGTGAGTGTGTCACTGTGTCACACTGTTTTTTAACTTTGATCCTAGAGGCCCTAGCCCAACATATCATAGCATTTTAGGATCAGGACGACGCTCTGAGGAAATTAAAAACATTCTGGATCCGGATCTACAATTTTTATAACTTGTAAATAAATTTGGGGATAATCGAAATTAATTTCGAAATCCAGCGAAAGTCACCCATGAAATAATTGTCTGTACAGAAAGTAAGGATTAACTTACATCAAATTGTGTTTAAATTGTTGCGGTAAAAGAAGTATCGTTGAACTTTTAAAAGTTAAGCATAAATATAAATGTAATACTTAAATGCAGCGATTAATTTTGAGTTCTTCTGTAACTTATTTTTGCCTCTCGCATATTTCATTGAATAATTTAGAAAAGTTTTGTCTACTTATTTTCAGTTGGATTCTTTCATAATCACGGACAAGTCTTTGGTGTTGTTAGTGAAGGACGAGAGAAAATCGGCGTCTTCATACATATTGTTTATTCTGAGTACTTTCGACAAAGCACAAAATCGTCATCAGGGTGTTGCTTATTGCAGGACAAATATTGTAGTGTTCATTATTTTCGAATACAAAATATTAGCGTTCATCTGAAAGTTAAATTTCTTACTTGTGGAGTGAAGAACGCTGAGTCAGTGCGTCATCGCATGACACCGTCTCAGGGGAGCTAACTAAGTATGGTGCGTCGAGAGTTTTTATGAAATAAGTAGTAAAAACTATTAGTGCAAACCTACATTTTTTAAACATCTATTGTACACTTTTTAAAACATATGTGCAGTATTTGTAATTAATTTTATTAAGGTTTGGTTTCAATTTTTTAATATAGATAGCTTCGAGAATAAATAGTCAAAACTTGTCTAAATTATTCAATGAAACATTCTCAATGAAAACATGCTGCCAAAATATACGATATATATATATATATATATATATATATATATATATATATATATATATATATATGTGTGTGTTTGTGTGTGGATGTTGTGCATTTGTGCAGCAATCCCTCTTTTATACAAGTTTCGTTTTATACGACTGATAAGTTACTACGGCTAAGCATTTTATTTAATTTTTCTTGTGGTTTTATAATCTATCTTTTCTGGGCAGAAATTATGCAAAAATTGTACGATATGTTTTATATGTCAGAGAAATTTCGGCTATAATTTTAGCCATTATCAAGTATGATTTTATTTTTACTTTTAATTGAATGTATGAATTTTTTTATGTATGTATCTAAAGTTATATTAATATTTTATTATCTAAACCCGGTTAACACATTGTGACCATGTTCATAGATGATATTAATGAGTGTTGTTTGTTTTCGTGTTTATTAATAATGTTTCCATTTTTTTAGCCTTTTTAGATCAAGCTATCATATTTGTATTGTCAACGAGTATATTACGAGTGGGGTTTGATAGGTCTCCTTGTGTATTTAAATGAAATCTAATTGAGGCATATATATTTCGTTCAAGCATAAAACAGACTGACTCCAGTAGGTGTTCACTTTTCTATTTTATATTTACATACTCTCATTTCTTGACATTGTAACTTACGAGGAGGCGTTCCTAGCATGCGGCACCTTTGGTAAGAACTTCAAAACCATACCACGGGCTGACACAAGCATAGTGAATGAAATTGGGTAGGCAGAACCCTTGTCAGCCTTCAGTGGTTGTGCTGACAGGAAGTGTTTGAGCGTGCTAGCCTTGTTCAGACTTGTGATCACGCTAGATAACGGGCTTCCAGAAATTGTAACTAAGCATAATTGCAGTCTAAACCACAGGTTGAATAAACACGAATGTTCCCTGCAATGGGAATTAGCTAGACGCTTAGAAGACTGGCATCCTCGTATTCGAGTGGATTTGCCATTTAGATTACCAATCGTCTGCCTGATTGCTAAGATGGAGGCATATTTTCAGCATGAGGGTTCACCTTAACACAACATCACTCAAGATGTGAATGAAGATGTTAAACTTTTGGTAGAGCGGCTAGCACTAAATCCAGATCTTTATATAACTAAAACATTACGGTAGGAACAGATGAAACAAGTGCTCCAACGAAAATTAGGCAATTTCTAAGTTCTCAGGAGGGTTTACTACCAAGAGGAATAAGAAAAATATCCCCAGTAGAGAAAACCTTGCTCTTGTTCCTTTCAATAACATATAAAATTAAGGCAATTATTCGTGTCAAAGGTAGCAACACTAATCAATAGCGCCATATTTTTACGTTTTGTAATTTCTGTAAGAATAAAGATCGATTTTTGAAAAGAAAAAACCCTCTTAACGTATATAATTTTTTGTTTAAACATTTTGTTTTAAATTTAATTCTAAGAATTATAATGAGTTACCTGGATTCATCATAGGGTATTTTTCTTGTAAATATCTTAATTCTTTATAGGTTATTTCTATCGGATTAGGAGTTACGAGTTTATTTTTGGAAAAACATTTTGGGATTAAAAAATAATGAGCTTTAAATATCGGAAAATATATTTTATATATAAATGACTTGGTTTTTTTTTAATGAAATAAAATACAAGAGGCGAACATATGGTAGTCACTATATTTAATTGGTGCCAGAATTTTAATGGAGCAATTCGCGAAAAGAAATCCGGAATTAAATTTAGTTTTTAATAGACAAAACGAATCCATTTGATAGACAAAACTAATCCATTTGATAGACAAAGCTAATCCATTTGCATATGCGTAAGGGAGATTAGTTGCATTTAGAGAGACAGACAGGCAGACAGACAGAAACAGAGAAAGAGAGAGAAAAGAAGCGAAAGAAAGAAAGAAAGAAAGAAAGAAAGAAAGAAAGAAAGAAAGAAAGAAAGACAGAGAGAAAGAAAGACAGAGAAAGGAAGAAAAACAAAAGAAAGAAAGAAAGAAAGAAAGAAAGAAAGAAAGAGAGAAAGAAAGAGGGAGAAAGACAGAGAGAAAGACAGAGGAAAGAAAGTTAGAGAGAAAGAAAGGAAGATAGAGAGAAAGAAAGAAAGACAGAGAGAGGAGAAGGAAGAAAGATAGGAAGAAAGAAGAAAGGAGTAATGAAAAAAAGAAAGTTAGAGAGAAAGAGAGAACTACAGAGCAAATTGAAGAAAGAAAGAAAGAAAGAAAGAAAGAAAGAAAGAAAGAAAGAAAGAAAGAAAGAAAGAAAGAAAAAAGAACGAAATACAAAGAGAAGGAACATAAAATGAGAGGAAGAGAGTGCGGCACGTTGGTTCGGTTGTGTTGAATGGCAATAAATAAAATCGGAAAAGAAGTCGAATGATTGAATGAAAACGGCAGATGAAAAACGAAACCCAAATAATTGCCGCCATTCTTGTCAGATTGGAATTGAATGAACGTTGCTTTTAGATTTGCCTTATCTCTTTTGGTTGGACTTAATCTGCTCAAAGTTTCTAATTGGATGATCTCCAAAGATCGTTCGCGTGCACAGCCCGTCCGCAAATCCCTCACTGCAATTAGGCATTAATCTTCTCGGCCCTAACGACATTTTTTTTTCATTTCTTTCCCCAACATTTTTTTTATTTTATTTACCCGAATTGTATTTTTATTTTATTTTATATTTTGGACATTTTATTTTTCATTTATTTCACAGTTTCAGTTTTCGCATATTTTCTTTTTTCTTTCTTTCTTTCTTTCTTTCTTTCTTTCTTTCTTTCTTTCTTTCAGTAACACATCGATTCTTTTCTTTTTTATTAATTTTTCTGCCTATTCTCTTTCTTTTGTATTTGTCTCCCAGTATTTTCTTACTTTCCTTTTATTAATTCATTCATTCATTCATTCATTCATTCTTTCTTTCTTTCTTTCTTTCTTTCTTTCTTTCTTTGTCTTCCTTCCTTCCACCTTTCCTTCCTTCCTTCCTTTGCTTCTTTGCACTCTGTCTTACATTCTTTTCACTCTGTCTTACTTTCTATCAATAACACATCGATTCCTATGTCTTCCATATCTATTTTTCAGTCCATTCTCTTTCTTCTTTACTTGTCCGTCAGTATTTTCTTACTTTCCTCTATTTCATTCATTCATTCATTCATTCATTCTTTCTATCTTTCTTTCTCCTAAATTATCACCTTTCTTTCTTTTCTTCTTTCTTTCTTTTCTCTTTCTTTCTTTCATTTTACTTTCTTTCTTTTTTCTTTCTTTCTCCTAAATCATCACCTGTTTTTCTTTCTTTCTTTTTTCTTTCTTTCTTTTTTCTTTCTCTTAAATCATCTCCTGTCTTTCTTTCTTTCTTTCTTTCTTTCTTTCTTTCTTTCTTTCTTTCTTTCTTTCTTTCTCCTAAATTATCACCTGTCTTTCTTTCTTTCTTTTTTTCTTTCTTTCTTTTTCTTTCTTTCTCCTAAATTATCACCTGTCTTTCTTTCTTTCTTTTTTCTTTCTTTCTTTTTCTTTCTTTCTCCTAAATTATCACCTGTCTTTCTTTCTTTCTTTTTTCTTTCTTTCTCCTAAATTATCACCTGTCTTCCTTTCTTTCTTTCTTTCTTTCTTTCTTTTTTCTTTTTTTTTTTTCTTTCTTTCTCCTAAATTATCACCTGTCTTCCTTTCTTTCTTTCTTTCTTTCTTTCTTTCTTTCTTTCTTTCTTTCTTTCTTTCTTTTTTCTTTCTTTCTCCTAAATTATCACCTGTTTTTCTTTCTTTTTTCTTTCTTTCTTTTTTCTTTCTTTCTTTTTTCTTTCTTTCTCCTAAATTATCACCTTTCTTTCTTTCTTTCTTTCTTTCTTTCTTTCTTTCTTTCTTTCTTTCTTTCTTTCAGTAAACCAACGTTTCTTAATTCCTTGTTATCTATTTTTCATGACGTTCGGTTTCTTTCTTTTGTTTTCATTATCCATTCATCCTTTTTCATTCCTTATTTCTTTTTCTTTCTTTTTTTCTTTGGCTGTTTTATCATTATTTGTTTCAATCACCCTCCTTCCTTTCTTATTTCTCCATTTTCTATTTTTCATGTCATTCTTTTTCTTTTGAATTTACTTTATTGCATTGTCTTCCATTTTTTTTTAAACTTCCTTTATTTTCTTTCATTCATTCATTCATTTACTTTCTTTCTTCTAAATTGTTATCGGATTTTTCTTTTTTCTTGTTTAAAGTATTAACGGATTTTCCAGTCTCTTTCTTATTTTTTTCTTTATTTATTTTTCATGCAGTTCTTTTTCTTTTCTTCTATCGTCCTGTTTTTCCTAATTCTTACTTTCTACATATTTGTCAGTTTTTTTCATTTGCATATTTTCCTGCTGTTCATTTCTTTTTATACAGATTTGTTTTCCTTTACTTTATCTTTTGTTTCTTTCTTTCCATTTTCGTTTTCTTATTCCTAAATTCTTCATATGACCTTTTATTTCAGTTTTTTTATCGGTCCATTTTTTTTTATTCTTTCCGTTTTTTCTTTTCTTTTCTTTATTCTGCACATCATTTTCGTTCTCCGTTCCACTTTTCCTTCCCATAAACATCAGCAAAAAGTGTTGAAGCTGCGGAAAGAAAAACATAACAAAACATTATTAGAAACGCACGAATTAAAACAATCAGTAGCGCCTCCTGACGGCGTTGTCAGTAATTACGACCAAGAACAAAAGATAAGTTACATCATCGATCCTAACTTAATGGTATGTCGATAGACAAATGATCTCAGTTAATTATCAAAGAAGATATCTAACTAGTAGTTTCATGGGTTAAATGTTAGAATGAATACGTTTTAAGACAAAAAAATATATTATTTGAGCGAAAAGACAAAGAAATTCAATCGAATGAAAAATAAAATCTGGTATTATGTTAAAAAAAATCTATGAATTTTCGTAGAAGCTGCAAGATAAAGGAGAATGATATTTTGGACAAGACTTGAAAGATTTATATACGATATCTTTTAGTACATTTGGATATATTTAAATCGTTTCTCTCTAAGATGGCGATAATGCCACTAAGACGCAAGAGGTTAATTGGAGTAAAAGAGAATGATAAAACTTTATTGTGGAGAAAGGACAGCTTTCAGGAAGTCAGACTGTGGCGATAATGCCAATAATATCCAAGTGGTTACTGGGAGTGAAAGAGAATAAGAATACATTAGTGAGGAGAATTGATAATAAAAGAAGAGTTTTCGGGGAGGACAGAAGATGGTGATTGACGTTGCATTTACATATCTGTAGCTGGCAAAAAAGCAAGAAGCTGGAAAAGAGGTTCATAGGTAAGAAGTGCATGAGAAGATATTGTTAGAATAGAACTTGCGGTTGCCCTAATAAATTCCAACAGTAAAATGATGAGACCAAACCGTCAATCTAGTACTACCTTTAAATTCATGAAGTCGAAATAATAAAGAAGAACGCTAACTTATAAAATAACCATGAAAATATTTATACAACAAAAAACAAAACAAAAACAAAACAAAGGGTGGCACGCTACGGAGGCGCGAATATGATTAAATCCGAGATGCCAGGTCAGGAACGATAACATTGCAAATTCTTCTTTGGATTTGTCAAAAATCTCTGGTTACATAACAGAAAAACTAGACAGCAATATTCAATTCCCGGACGAATGGTAGACCTATAAATGTGTAAAAGGTGATAAAATTTGTCTAGCAAGGTGCATGGGTGATAAAAATTCGCTAACACGGCACAGGGAATTAACTTCCTTAGCAGACTTAGCAACTGACTCGATAAAATCGTTCCAGTTAATGTCAGTGGAAATCGTTACACCAAGAAGTCGCATTGAATTATTCTCTTGGGGGTTAGCATCAGCCATATTGATGGAAGACGGCATTTTTCTGAGCACGTCTTGAAAATTTTTATAAGCAAAACTTTTGAATAAGTCTTAAAATATTTATATAATATATTATTTTAGTAATCCCAAAATGTATTTTATTAACATGTACGTCCAATATAAGGCTCAAAAGCCACTCAAAACAGGGGTTTAGGAAATGTGATTGTTGTATGGAACTAAACGAGAGGAAATACGTACAGATTTTGGAGGTATGTACTAGAAATAACGGTTGATTCTTGTTTTGAAGAAGTTAAGATTGGTATGCTCGAAGAATCATCCACACGATGCTTTGTTTTACAAAGGAGATGTTCTTCCGTCTTACCGATTCTTTCTTATATTCAGTTATGCCCAAATGCCTTTAGGAAAGGTATTAATCCATCATTTCTCCCCCAAACTGACTGCGTCTTATAGCCATGGTTGGCAGTCAGTCTACAACAGAATGAAATGGTAACCTTCTGCGGGAAAATCTTCTTCCTAATCAGTCATGAATCGAAAGAGACGCGATCGCCCAGGCGTGTACCATGTATGGCGCTTAAATGACAGATTACACATGACTTTAATAAAACTTTATTTGCTGGACGGAAGATTCGTTCTTACCGTAGGCGTGACACGGGATTAACAACAATAAATCCGAATAATTATTACAATATACCTTAAAGAAAATGTGATGAATGGAGGAATCATTCTTAACGTAGATCTTTGTACATTTATCAAACGATTCTTTCTTTCCTTATTACATCGAGTCATTTAAACTTTTTTTTTCAATTAAAGGAAGTACTTGCGAGTATCATTATTCTTTCGAATTGGAAACATTATTAAATAAAACTTTTTATTCTCGATTCGACAGCAAGTAAGTAAAAATTGCAGAAACTGAAACAATGGATAAGAAAATGTACATATGTATATATCAGTAAAATTATGTTTAGTGACGGATAATTTTTTTTTCTACTTTTATAAACTTTGGTATTTTCTTTTTTCTTTTTCCTTTCTTTTTCTTTCTTTCGTTCTCATTTCTTCTTCTTCCATTCTTTACGCTTAATTTTTCTTTATTTCGTTCTTTATTTCTTTCATGTTTTCTTTCTTTATTGTTTCTTCATTTCTCATTTCGCTCCCTTCCCTTCTTCTCCGTTCTTTCTTTCTTTTTCTTTCTTTCTTTCTTTCTTTCTTTCTTTCTTTCTTTCTTTCTTTCTTTCTTTCTTTCTTCAAACCATTATCTTCTATTTCATATTACTCTCCCTCGCCTTCTCTCTCTGTGTTTCACTCTCATTTTTCTTAACTTCCTTTCCTTTATCCCTCTTCTCTTTTACTTTTGAACTTTTACTTTTCTGACACTGTATTCTCACCATTTGTCATTCATTTTATAAAAATTATTTTTTATAATTTCTCTGTTTCCTTTTACTTTTTCGTTTCTTTTTTTCATTTTTACTTTTCGTTTTTTTTTTGTCTTTAATGTTTCTTTTTTATTTTCTTTCCTTCTTTCTTTCTCGGTTATTTTTCTTCCATTCTTTATGCTTAAATTTTCTTTATTTCATTTTTCTTTCTATCTTTATTCATTTTTTACTTTCTTGTTTCGTTTTCTTTCTTTCTTTCTTTTTTTTTATCCTTTCTCATTTGTTGCATAATCTCTCTTTTCACTTGTTGTTTTATTTTATATATATTTATATATATATATATATATATATATATATATATATATATATATATATATATATATTCCCCTCAACGTCAGCACTCCTTGTAAATACTTAAACATAATTTTCTGGTTATAACATTTTGGCCTTTACCGAGGTTCTATCAAATCTTTCCCATTTTCTCATAAATTCAACATTCAACACGTCCCAATAACTGATGTTATACCACTGATCCAGCTTAAGAGCCAGTAGCTGTTATTCTTGCCATTTATAAACTCGTTATAATATTTTCTTACGTCAACATATACATTAATATTTACAGTTATATAATTATTTATTAAACACAGCAGAAGCTTGGAAATATGGAGAGGGTCAGTGAAGATCGGACTCCTCAATGAATTTTTTGAATCGGCTCGTAACCATTACACCAAGAGCAGTTAATCAAAGTGATATATTATTTTTATATTTATAATTCTCTTTCATACTTTCTCTATCTGTTTTACACACACACACACACACACACACACACACACACACACCACACACACCCACACACAACAACACACACACACACACACACACACACACACACACACACACACATATATATATATATATATATATTTTTATTTATGCTGGGTACAGATTTTATTATACCAATAAAAGGGTTAGACTTATTTAGCTTTTCATTATTAAAAAGAAACGCGAAAGATAAAGCATTCATAGCCGACCGTATTCGATCTCCATTCCTGATTTTTCTAGGCATATGCTGCTGAATTCTAGAATCTAAACTTTGGGTTGTTCTACCTATGTAGTCAGCACTGCAGCTACATCTAAGATGATAAATAACATTGTCAATATGGTGTGGCCGGCGGTAGAAAATCCTTTCGGGTAGACGTCAAAACAGATTTAGTAGAAAACACGACACGCATGCTAGAAGATAAATAAAAATGCTCTACTGCAAAGGT